GGGGCGGGATGCGAGTGTGTTCTCGGCGGCCTGGGTTGCCGCCTGCGGCTCTCGGGCGGGGAGGAAGGCTCCGGCGGCGGCAGTCTGCCCGGTGATCGTTCCGAGGCGGCCCGGAAGCCTTCGGCTTTTGCGTTGTTTTCATTTCTTTTTCCCCGTCCGCTTCTGTAGCGTTGATCGTGACAGGTGGAGCTCAGAGGGAGGCGGAAAGTGGCTGGGGCTGGGCCTACACCAGCGCTTGGCTCCGTGGCCGCTTCAGAAGATCGGCGTTGTTGTGACTTGCCCAAAGAAAACAAGTGGCCTGTAAACAGTGAGCTATAGTAAATAATACCATGACTTAACCTTGCTGCAGACCACATGGAAGAAGTGCTTCTCGCTGCTGGCCTCCAGTTAAGAACACACTGCCCAGTGAATTGGACTTGCTTATTTTGAAACTAGAAATAGCAGCAGTTGGCTGTTCTGACAGATGCTATATTGTCAGAAATAGCCGCTTTGTGATAGTTCTCTAACTCGGAGTAGTACCGTGTTCTTGTGTACAATAAGGCTAGTGAGCAGTCATAGTTTAACTTCAGCAAACCACAAACAGTTTGGACTGTATTTACAACAGAAGTGAGATAATACTAAAAAACACAGCACTTAGTCTGTTGATATGTCATGAGCTTAGACTGTGTATTTCCAAATCTAACTTGTTGGAAGGAAGCATTGGCATGTCCTGAGTGGAACTTTGTTTTTAAGCAGGTAACAAAACAGGTATGACACCTGACGGGTCATTCTTAGCGCACACAACTTAAGTGTTTCCTGTTTCAAAGGTAACTACGTTGGTATTGACTAAAGTTGCAGGCAGGATGAGTCTGGGTGAGATGACTGTCCCATAAACAGGAAACAAACTTGGTTGGTAATAGACTTGTTTGTCCTTTCTAGACTTGTTATTGTCTTTTTTTCTGTCCTTATGCTTTTAAGTTTGCTGTTAACTGTTGATCCTCTTGGCCTGGTGTATCCAAACCAAACTCATAGCAAACTTGCTGTCTACCTGTCTCTCCTCTTTAGAGAAGAGTTTATCCTGATCCTGTTTATCCTTCTAGCATAGTGCTCCTAGATATTTAGTTCATTTTTAACTGATGCCAAAATGGCTACTGTTGGTGTTTCATTGAATAAGCAAAAGAGAAACTGTGCAAATACAACTTAGGAAAAGTGGACAGTGAAGACTTCTGATCATGTGATGGTCCATTGTTAAATAGTGTCAGAAATTCTTATTGCCAAGAATCATGGCTGAGGACATCACTACTTTAGCCAGACTTCTCTTTTTTTGTTTGTTTGTTCCATAACTGTCCCTACTATTATGAATACTGCAGTTCTCCTTGTCAAATAACATTTAACTGTTCTAAAACACTTTTTGGATGGGAAGACAGCACAAAGCCTTTGAGAATGGATCCCTAAATTTCCTTCACTTCCCTCCAACAGTGTTTGACTGAAGGGAAAGTGGGAAGTGAGAGTTTCTTGGGGTTTTTTTTGTAAACAATCCTGAGATGTGAAAATGCCTGAAAGTGTCATGACTGATGTATTTGAGGTAGGTTCTAAACCTGAAACTTAACTGGCTGTAGTGTATGGGCACAAATGTATGTGCTTAGTTCAGCTGCTCTGTAAACTAAGGTTACCTTGTCTAATCAGCATTGTGGCTTCCAGTTGACTGGAATTGTGAGCAGTTTTCCAGCATGTGGAATGTTCAGGTGGCTTTTCTATGAGTGAACACCTGAATTTGAACTGGTCAAATTGATCAGTAGCTGATTTTACTGTTAATGTGACTTACACCGTAAGGTTTTTCTCTCTGTAGATTTCAAAATGATAGATATCCTGAAATCTAGTTTAACTATGGTATGATTTGAAAGCCCCTTCCCCCCTTGGAGCACTTCTCTTGTGGGGTTTCTGAGGGGTGTGCTGCTTTGCCATATGTTCTCTTTGTGCAAAGCTTTCAGAAGTGGATAATAGACCGCATTCTGAAGAACAGTGGCACTTTTAGCATGTTTTACATGGTGTTTTTTGACAAGAGTTTAGAACCTAATCAGCAAACACATTGCTGTTTTTGTCACTCAAGCTTTTTATCTTCCGTATGCAGTACACATGGCCTAAAATCTTTACAGCCCTTGAAACCCAGTGGGAGTAGTTACTTACCTCTGCAAGATACTAAAAAAATCCAAAGTTCAGCTTAAAGTAATTGTAAAATCCCTTTCTTTGTAAGGCTCTTTCCAAATTTGTGGAAGACTTCAGGTTTGTCATCTTCAACAGCAAGGCTTAGTTATTCCTAGTGATCTGCTTCAGGTTAGTAGAGAGTGGTTTTGTCAAACTGGACTGCTGGTTGCATATTGGACCTCTCTATTTTGTGATTATTTTTTTTTGATCTTGCCTAAAATTTTATAATAATTAATAACCCAACAGAGCTCTGTCATTGAAATGAATCTACTGAAATAGGTGCCAAATGCTTTGCTCGTGGCCTGTTGATTTGCTCAGAAAGTGGTGAGGCTAAGTAATAATTGTGGATTTCGGTAAATATTTTCTACCTTCTAAAAATCAGCTGTGTTACACAATACAAAATTATAATCTTTTAAGAGCTCCTGGGTCCTGTGTCTGATAGCTTAATCCATTACTGTATCCTAGGAACTGAAGTTGAAAGTAGCTAATTTTGACAGCAAATTTAAGGATTTTTAGTAAACTCTTTCTGTCTGAGGCCTGAATTTTCTGAACCTGAGAAGATGGTAGGTTTGCCCCATGGTCTGAAGCTTTTGCTTCTTGAATTGTTGAGGCTGGTGTAGGGAGAAGCATTCACACTAAGAATATATGCATCTAAAAATAAAGTCTGCTTTGCATAGCATTCATGCCTTTCTTAATCGGTGCTGTAGAAATTGAATTTTAGCTTTGCATTGAATGACCAGAGAAATACCTGTGCACTTCTGCTTTCCAGGTAGTGTTCCCTTAATTACTCTGATTTTTATATATGACTGTAAGTTAGCTTGCACCATTTGAAACTCTGAAATGCTGTTAGTCTTGTGCTTGTGAGAGCTGTCAGGTTTTTTCTGTGTATGTGGACACATACTGTGCAAACTGTATATTTAGAACATAAATAGGAAGCTGCTTCCTTCAGCTATTGTGTTCTGTCCTTGAGTTGCGGTGTCTGCTCAGGCTCTTACTCTGCTTCCTTGAAAGGGAAAATCCCATTTTGACTCCAACTTGGGCTCCCCGGTGGCACTGCCAGATTTTAGTTAGAAAGTGGCAAAGCTTGTTGCGCTTCCATGCAATTAGAGCGTGTCCAGATGATAGTCTCTGCTTTAACTGGCAGAAAATGGTGATGCAAATACAGGGGTAGGATGGTCAGTGTCAGTGCTCAGCAGGGTGTTGTGTGGCAGCAGAGAGGATCAGATTTACCACTAAGCCCAACTCAGGAGTTCTAGTATCCAAAAGCTTGATTTCTGGG